TATATATATATATATATTATTTATTAAAAAAAATTAAATAAATAAACTTAATTTTTTTAGTAATGATTAATTTAGACACAATAAATGAGAAACAAAAATTCATAAAAATAATTAACTTGACTATAAAGTGAATGTTAGAATATAAGAATTGAGTTAGATTATTATCTTTAAAACACTACCAACTATTGTTCAAGAACTCAATCACTTTTGATGCAAAACATTACTACACAATCAATCACCTACTGAGAATTCCTCATTCAACCACCTATTGAAAAATTAGTCTCACAGTCACCTGTTATGAGACTACAAAACACTAGTTGTGATTTGTCCCTACACCATTAAACACTTAATTCTAGTTAGGGACAATGTTTACAATAATGAATTTTGTGTTCTTGTTGTTTGCTAAGATTGCATATGTTTCTCCTATGATGGAGCTTTCATTAAGGAAGATTTCACACTTCTTTTTAATTAAAAAATAGATATACAAATAAGAAGTGAAAGTTTCTAAAAAATTTAGAGGATGAAGTAAGGATTGTAGCTTGTTTTGCTCGAGTGGTTGATTTCTCTCTTTGATCTTGCTTACTTTAAATAAAACCTCTGTCTTCCCTTTATAGACACTTAGTAAAAGATCTATGGCTAGCTTATTTTTTAAGCTAGATGCCCACATCACTATACTTTACTTTTTTTCTTGGTCCTATTAGCTTTTTATAGATGAGTTTCCTTTTGAGTAAGTCTTCAATTCAGGCCTTCTAACACAAAGTCTTTAATACAAGTCTTCTGAGAAGCATTATTTTCATTGAAGTTTTTTGATAGACAACTTAAATTGCTAATTTTCTAAATTATGCCTTCAAGACATTTACCCTAAAAAATGTTTAACTTGAAGCTTTCTAATCAGAGGCTTAGGATACTTATTTTCTTGCTTATGAAAGACATGCCTTCAATGCTAATAGATAATTTTCAAAAGTGAATTTTTTTTTATATATATATAATAATGTCTTGTTAATCACTTTTATTGTTAAAGGAATCATTAGCTCATGTAACCTTCTAATCAGACTTAAATTTTGTTGGAACACTAGAACAATCTTATTAGAACACAAATGAGAACTCTTCTTTCTAGAATTTGAAACTAAGAATTTGTGATTATTAAAACCATAATTAGGTAGAATTCCACAAACTATTTACACCTAATTAATGTGCATATATCTATCTATCTCTCTCCTTCCCTCCCACCTTCCTTCCTCTCTCTCTCTCTATACACACACACACACACACACACATACACACACACATATATATATATATATATAGAAGAGGGATCCATTTACTTTAGAAATAAGTATATCTAAACTTATTTTATTCAATAACTCATGTTCTACATTAAATTTCAATAATCCAACCATTAAATTTAAAGTTCTTAATCCAATCGGGAGTGAGAGCTTTAAGATCTCGTGCTTCAACAATTGTAGTGACTATTCAAGATTTTTAAGTTGTTCTGAGCTTTTGAGAACTCAATTCCTAGAGATTTTAACCCATTTAGAATTGTTTGAAACCTTCTAATCATTTTGTCAATGTTTTCACTTTTCTTCATGGAGAACAACTCATGGTGCCTTTAAAGTGTAACACTTTGTTTGAGCCTAACATCTTCAGTGCCTTCATAAGTTACCCTGATGGCATCGCGTGTTTCCTTAGTAGTTGAGTAGCTACAAAACTTGATATATTCAATTTTGGACAAAGAACATGCAAGTATGTAACTTGCTTTAGGGTTTAGCTGCAAAGTGTTATAATCATCTTAAGTATATTGACTCTCAGGTTTAGTTTCTATGATATCACCTTGAGTGATAATTCTCCAGAGTTGGTACTAGGTGGATTTGATGATCATCTTCATCCTATCTTTCTAATAGGGATAGTCTTCTCCATCGAAGGTAGGAGACCTTGTGAGAGCAGTTCCTTCTAATAAGTATTGTCTTTCACTACTTCTCATTGAAGGTCTTTTCTTTTAGCATTATTAGATGCTCAAACCCATCAAAGGTTCAGCTCTGATACCAAATTATAGAGAAAAGAGACACAATAGAAGGAGGGGTTGAATAATGTATATCAGACAACTACCCAAGTGTTCTTTGAACAACAAGTCTCTCCAGGCCTAGCACCAAGTATTCTTTCTCAAATAAGCCTCTCCAGGCTCAACTCTTATAACAAAGGTTACAGAAGATTATGAGGTTGTTTCGTCTCTTATAGACGTGTTGAAACCAAAAATGAAAGTACAAATAATCTATAAAGAAGAACATACAGAATTCACAATGAGTGTTTCTTTGTATGCATGTCCCTAATTTTTCTTTCTTGAAGGCTTAATCTTTATATATAGCTTTAAAGAAGATAATCATTGCACCACTTTGAGTTAAACTAATAAGTTGCTTCATCTATTTTCTCTGTTGATCCTAGAGAAAAAAAGTTACTATTGCTTCATTAAATGAGAGCATTAAATGTTTTTCAATAAAATGTGT